TTAATGTATATATGAGGAAACTTAAAACCATTTTCTCTTACATAAGACTTTGGTGGTTGTAATGAGTGGGCAGTGCATGTATGTGATCTTAGAAGTAGGGATAAAAAATCCTAGCCTTTTGTTTAGATTTTTTTGTAGCTCTCCAGATAATGCCTTCTTTATGGCTGCTTATACCAGAGAATTATTTCCTTTTGACTGGCTATTGTTAGTACCTCAGGCACAGTGGACCCTCCAAGGGTTTTAACATAAGTGTAATGAAGAGTTGGGGACTGGTTAATTGGTTAACTAGAATTTCACGGGGTTGTAGTAGTAGGTGATAAGAATCTTCAAAATCCATATCCTGAGTGAACTGTAAGCTCTGTAGTGAAAGCAGTTTTGTTTGTCCATTAGAAAGGCCTCTCTACCAATTTCGTTTCCTCTTTGCACTTCTAGATTATTGTTTTGGCTTCTGTCGCCTTTCCCTCTTTTTGTGGTGGGTTCTTGCTCCTCCTTTGTGTTTCTATTTTCACTTTTTTTCCCTTCTTTCAAGGCTTCTCCTGTTTCTGCACCTTCTTTATTTCTCTCTAATTCCATCTCCTGCCTCTTTTCCTTTGTCCTCCCAATCTCCTTCACTCTTAGGTTGCACCATGTGAACCTGCCAATATTCTTTCCTCCTACCCTCTCTTTCTTCTCTCCTCTCTGTCTCTCCTTTTTCCCAAATACCATCCGCTTGCTGCTTCTCTATATTTCTACCCCTTCTGTCTCTTGCCCTTTTTTCTTATTCCTCTTGAACTCACCATTATATAACACAGGAGCATATTTTTAGAAAGTATGTGTTATACTTATGCAACAAGAATTTGTATTCCTGTTTATAATAAAATCAAGTAATTTCAGAGTTACATAATCTCTCAAAAATATCCAAGTTACAGTCATATTGTGGTGCTTCATGGATGTTATTCCTTTCATCTCCCCTCAGGTCAGAATATGTTCTGCACAATCTTGATTGTAAAAAAGTAAAAATTTTGCTTGAGAATTAGTTGTCAGAAATTCCAAATATTAATAATAAGCCTAACTTATGATTCTCCAAATGGTACCATTAAAATGAATAAAAAATTAATAAAACATAACCAACATTTAAACATTTTATTATATTATACATGTGTGTAATGCTGTAATAAAGCCTTCAATGTCTAAGAAATATTATAAGCTGATAGAATTTAGAGTATATATGAATAATCTTATGTTATATTAAATGATATGCAGATATGAGTCTCTGATAATACAGCATAGTAATTCCTTCCAGAATTTTTATTTGTTAACTTAAAGGATAAAAACCAAAATCAGCCTAAGCATTGGAATATATGGAAAGCCATTTTAGTGGGAAGCAATTCAACCAAAAGGTATTTAACTGAAAATAAATTATAGAAAACCTTTAATATTTTAAAGAAATCATTAATTTCCAAACCACTGTTTTGCTTGTTGATTCAAAAATGTTGAAATTTTGAAGATAATTGTCCTTTAAAAGGTTACTGAAATAATACAATAGATGTGTCACTCCATAAATTAATATTACTATATTAGAGACAGAAATGATCTCAGGAGTTTTGCAGGGCTTTGCCCTGAAGGAATATGTGAACGTGTTAGTAGTTTGTATATCAACAGCTGCTCCACCTCAGGAGGGCATCTCAAAGGTCAGTAGCAGCTGCTTTCCAAGGTGATGCTGCAGTCTCAAACCTGTGGTTCTTGCCTGCTTTGAAGGACAAAGCAAGGTCTGCATGGAACTACAGGATGAGAGCTGATCAAAGAGTGTGGTTGTCACCCCTCCCCCACCCCCTGAGATAGACACTTGCGGCTAAAAACAATTAGCCCGAGGGACAGTTCTTAGAGGAAACAGTTGACTAAAGCTAAAACCCACTGCCCTCTGTGAGCAGTATCCCCAAACCTGCTTCAGTCATCTTCCTTCCTGGCCTCTGTACTTGAGCTATTGGCCCCTGGTTAGCATGCATAAGGTAATCCATTTAATCATAGAGCATATAATTAAATTCAAAGGCATTCGATCTGAATGCTACCTTATGATTATATTTCTTATATGAATAAGTTCTGAAGTTCTAGTTTTATAAAGAACAGACTTGTTAAAAAAAAAAGAAATGATACGTGTCTTGACATTTCTATTGCAGTTATTACATCTTATTTTCTAAAGGCAAAAGTGATGTTTATAGGTTAATAAAATCCCGAGAGTACTATCTAATCCTGTCAAAAGTAATTAATTTCAAGTGTCATTAAGCCAAACAAAAGCTATCAGATACAATACTGGTTCACATTATAAACATGATAGAATATTAAGTCACTTTGTTTTTTTGGAAACAACTTTAACTATATATAGTAATCTAATAATATATTTTCTTCAGATATAGTAACGCGGATACAACAGATATTCTGTTGTCACAGGCTGACAATTATCCTAAAAAAATGGCGGGAGAAAGCAATATATAAGAATCAAAAGAAAGAAGATGAAATGGTATGCTATATTGGAAACAATTTTTTACGAATCTGAGATTTTCAGTTATATTCATGTTACCTCAGATAATAATAATATGTATAGAAAATACTAAAATCCTGAATATTGTAGTTTTGGTGGGGTCCTTGTTTTTTTAACCTAATAATTTAAATTTTACTTCAGCTACCTCCAAATGTTTCCTAATAATTTCTGTTGTTTCATTTGAACTATGAATATCAAAGAGAAATCTTTTAACATTTTTAAATTTATCGATAAAGAAACTAAGAATATTGTTACTAATAAAGCGAATATTTAGATGAATAAATGTCTAAAATGAAAGAGAAACTTTGATATGATTATAATAGAGAAATAAATGGTGAAGACTGAATAAATTTATTCCTTTTCTAGATAAGGTTAAATTGCTATCTATTCTTTTTCAACATTAATAAATTATAGTTTCACTATTAAATGATTCCTTAAATTACTAAATTGCTAAACTTATAGGATCATTCTTAATTGGGACACTCACTAGGAATTAAAGCAGTTGAAACAGAGGACATAAATAAACTTCTCCAAACTTAAAAAATACTCTAATTTGCTTCAGCTATTAGTATATCATTACTTAATGTTGTTTTAGAATGCTCAAAGTAACTACTAGAATCAGACATAGAAACATGCTGGAATTTTTTTTGGAGTTTCATTGTTTACTCACAATATTTTATGAATATTCTTTGACATACAAAGTTGGGATAAATAAAAAAGAGAAAAATAGGATGAAATGAAATCTCCCTTTTTTTGTGGTTGTCCCATGGATCAATGCACTCACCTAAACTTGATTCAGATATTGAGACTGACAATAGCACACATGCAGCAAGAGAGTTTGAGATTTATTATTCACATACTGCCTAAAACAGTGCTAGAGTCTGCAGAGAATACTGAGATGCATAAAGCATAGTTCTTGCTCTCTAGGAGTCTGTGATCTCTGGGTGGTTTTTTTTTTTTTTTTTTT